TGTTCAATTCTTTTTAAAAAAATAGTTCCTACTCACAGTAAGTTTTTTGTAACGATCCAGATTTCGAGCCTTTTAGCTCATCATCAGGTTGAAGGACTTCTACAACCACGTCTCTCGACATGAATTGCCAAAGTGAACCCGCTGATACCTCCGCCAACGCGACGCTCCAATTAGCAGCTGATTTTTTTAATGGCGCTCAATTTGGTGGAACTTTTTGAACTTTTTACTTTTTAGACCTAAAACTGTCCATAATAAACAACCTAATAGAAATAGACGTATATAGAAAACCCACAACTACAGACATTATGATTCCAGCGGATTCTTCCCACCCATGGTCGCAAAAGGCTGCTGGTTTCATTTGGCTCATAGACCGGATTTTAAAATTTCCGCTAACACCTGATAACTATAAAAAAGAATTTTTTTTGGCGTTATGATCTGTGCATATTAGTCATGGCGACAATTCTTATGTGTGTTCAAATTGGGGGGGTTATCGTGAAAAAAGGGCCAGGGGCGACTGTGGGAATCGAACCCACGACCGCGGCGTGAGAGTCTCTCATGCTAACCACTCGGCTACCGCGGTCCCCAAAGAATTAAAAATTAATTAAGGAAAAAGAAATTAAAAATTAAATTAAAAAAGAATTAAAAACTATTAAAACCTTAGCAACAAAATAACGGGTATCAAGAAATATTTATTGATAGGTTGCTAGTTAAAAGATTAAAAAATTTAACTTTAAACAATAGGACTCAGCCACCCCACCACAAATGAATCATTAGGTTTCCGTTGTTTGCCACACATTGGTGAATTATCGGAAAAAGTTAGTAATATTTTTAAACAAGAAGGTTTTAGAATAGCTTTTAGAAGTACGGGTACTCACAAGTTGTTTCGCAACGACCGGATTTCGAGCCCTTAGTTCTTCATCAGGAGTTCTACAACCCTGCATAATCATCCTCTCAAAGCCTAAAGACAAAGTAGACAACTTGGCCAAAAGCGGGGTTTACCAACTCAATTGTAATGATTGTGATATTAAATATATAGGACAAAGCGGTAGAGAAATAAAAACAAGGGTAAAAGAACACTTGCCTAAATCGAGCAAATTTTCGGAATTTAAGGATCATCTAAAAGAAACAAAACATAATTTCAATTCAAATCTAAATACAAGAGTGTTACATAGTTTCAACAAAGGGAAAGAACTAGTTTGGTTTGAGAAATTTGAAATTAAAAAATGTAAAATTGAACATGGTGATAAATGCATTAATAATATAACAGATTTTGATCTACCTCCCATTTTAAATATGTACATAAATAATATCAAACATCCAAATAATTAAACTAATTATTTTAATTGTTATTATTTTTATAGTAATTTAATAATACATATTAAGTATTTACTAGTATAATATTTATTTGTGTTATAATTTCCGCGTTTCGCACGTTCAAATTGAGCGCCATTAAAAAAATCAGCTGCTAATTGGAACATCTCGTTGGCGGAGGTAACAGCGGGTTCACTTTGGCAATTCATGTCGAGAGACGTGGTTGTAGAAGTCCTTCAACCTGATGATGAGCTAAAAGGCTCGAAATCCGGATCGTTGCAAAAAACTTACTGTGAGTAGGAACTATCTGTTTAAAAATGGTTATAAATTTCTACTTTTTGAGATATCCTTGTTCGAAATCATCGTCTTTATAGATATTAGAATATTTAAGATTATATAAATATGAAATAATCATAACGTTTCTAAGTGTTTCCAGAAAATTCAAGTTGCGATATTTCTGCTTGACGTCTGCGGGTGAGGAACCTCTATGGTCGATCTTCTTGGCCATCATTATTGTTCCAGTCTATTCAGCATCTTCATCATTAGTATTTTTTGAAATTTAACTTTTTTTTGTGACCTTATCCTAGATATTCGGCCAATTGCAATGAAATTTAACTTAAAATGTCGTGATTCATTCAAGGGCCACGGATCTACGCATTCCGAAAGCTGGCGATCGATGGTTTACACCTAGGCCATTCCTGGTTGAGCCAGGGTGCAAGATTGGCCTGTATTAAAGATTGCCAGTCAGGACCCGAGAGATTGTCAATTAAAATTGGGCCGATACAGATTGCTTGAGTCAGTCAGAGACAGAATTGGAATTCAGATGAGTTAAGAATCTGAGGATGGAAATCAGACAGAAGGGAAAGCAAATTTGGGTCAAAAATAATCTTACAAGTGGAAGAACAGGTCGGTGTGAAACGGATTTGGACCAAACCTTTTTTGGTGATTCTACACTCCAAATTACTGGACACGTATCCGTCACTTTTTCTGAATGGGCCCTGATTTCTCAAAAAATATTATTTGAAAGTTGAAATTTTCCGTTTGCCGTTCTACTCGCTCGAATCAACTATGTGAACATATCATTTTGCAGAATTTTTTTAAGTAGATTGTAATAAAAATAGATTAAAGTTTATCAATAACCAAAAAAATTTCTAAAAATCACTAATATAAAATTTCGTTTTAGCACGTCTAAAGACCCCTAAATACAAATTTTTGTTTGAATTTAAATTTACCCCTAAGTTTTTTTTTGATTATTTGAAAGCATTTTTTTGTGTAGATGGCAATAAAAATATAGGAAAAGCTATCATAGTTTACCAATAACCACAAAATTTCTAAAAACAAAATATTTTTCAAGTAAACAAGGCCATATTTTTTTTCGTGAAACTAATATGAAATTTCGTTTTAGCACGTCTAAAGACCCCTAAATTCAAATTTTTGTTTGAATTTAAATTTATCGATTTTTTGCCCTCTAATTTTTTTTCGATTAGTCGTTATCGACATATCTGATTTACACGGCTATAATTCAAAAACGGCTTAAAGGTTTTAACGTCAGCCATACCACTTGAAAATAGAGGAACGTAGGTTTTTAACTACGTTTGTACCATAGAAATGTATAGACCTTGGTTTCTCAAAAAAATTTTTGAGGTAAATCCCAGGCCCTGAAGATGATCTCAATAAAGATCGAAACATTGGCACGATAAGGAAATATTTTTGTGAAACCTACAACACACCAGACCGCATCTCACGATTTCCGAATAATTATCGATTAACGGTCAATAATCACCACACATATTTTTGAAAGTAGAAATTTTCCGTTTTTTAATATTTTTAGATCGCCGTTCTACTTACTCAAATCAATTATGCGAATATGATTATTTGGAGGTCGTGAAATGCGATCTGGTATGACGTAGGTTTTAGAAAAATATTTTCTTTATCGTGCCAACGTTTCGATCTTTATTGAGATCCTCTTCAGGGCCTGGGATTTATAAACATTGTTTAAATTTTACAAATACATGTAGGATGTGATAAAAAGAAAAAAAATGAATTTATTCAATGCTCGAAAATTTTAGATTCAATCAAAGTATGTGAATATATCATTTCACAGCATGTTTTATGTACATTGCAATAAAATTTTAGTAAACGCTATCGACGTTTATCAATAACCAAAAATTTCTAAAAATTAGACGTTCATTAGTATAATTCAGTAATATTACATATATCCAACAGTGAAGAAATATTCATGCGAAATTCTTCAGAAAAATGGTCAAAACTCGGATTTGACCTCATACTCATCATCATAATCATTCGACCATAAAACCCTCAGACACCGACATTTTACGCGACTGACAAATGCTGTCTCTAACATAATTTTTCTCAAAACCTAGTAAACCGATTTTCATGGTTGTTAATTAGTTTTAAAGAAATGGTCAAGTTCATTTTACGACTGTATCGTATATTTTATAATTTATAAAATTGAACTGTTATTTCTAATTTAAAAAAAAACAAAAAAAAACGAGGTTCATTTCTGACAAATAATTTTCATATTCTGTGTATTTTCTTATAGAAATATTTTATACATTTTTATGCTACATAAATGGTTAAAAAGCTACTTTTTTCATTTTCAAATGGTATGTGTAACGTTAAAATCCTTTTAGCCATTTTTGAATTTTGGCCGTTTAAATCAGATGTTCCGATATCGAAAAAAATGTTGGGGTCAAAAAATCGATAAATTTAAATTCAAACAAAAATTTGTATTTAGGGATCTCTAGAGGTGCCAAAACGAAATTTCATATTGGTTTCACGGAAAAAAATTATGACCTAATTTACTGAAAAAAATTGATTTTTAAGAATGTTTTGATTATAGATAAACTTGAATAATTTTATTTATTTTTATTGTAATCGACATAAAAAAATACTGTAAATTATATATTTACATAATTGATTTGGGCAAGTAGAACGGGGAAATAGAAATATTAAACAACGGAAAATTTCGACATTCAAATTTTTTTTGCGAAACCAGGGCGGATTCACAAGGAGTGGCGGATACATGTCCAATATTTTGGAGTGTAGAATCACCAAAAAAAGTTTGGTCTAAATCCGTGACGGACCAACATGGTTAGTAAATTTACTTAAAATAACTAACTTACATGATATCTATGCTCGTTTCTTAGGTTTGCATGTTGTCTGCTACTATCATAAAAAATTAACACCCTTACAGTTATTGCTTGACCACCATTAACATTAAAACCAACAAACTTATATTATTGAGAGCCAATACATACAAGAAAAGTGTCACAACTCAAAAAGAGGTAGTTTTTTAGGGGTAGTAGAGTTGGACTTTTAAAGTTTTGTGTTTTCGCTTAAGTCTTGGAGAAAAAGAAAAGACAATATAGATGGATAATGACAGTTTTTTCTGCAAACAACCGTAATGTCGTGTACTTAATAAATAAGTCAAAAAAAGTAAGCTTCCATTTGCCTCTACTGTAAAATTTTCTTTTGTTGAGTTGTGTCACTTTTCTTGTGGGTGTGCGATATTCGTTTAATTTGTCTACAAGTGGCTGGAATTTTCATTGAATTTACCCTCAGAAAAACCCTAAGGGCTTATTTTACGGTCCGATAATTTATTTTTAAACAAATCCCAAGATCCTTTCGCACAACAGAGCACAGTTTGCCTATGGAAAGTAATTTACCTCATTGTCCCTTCGCAATAAAGCCTGCACGGTGAATTTGCCACAGGTTGTAATCCACAATAGCGCCGTCCCCATAAACAAACACTGGCCATCGGCCGTGCCCGGTCCGTCCTTTGCCGGGAGATTCGCTTTGACCTCTCTGTTGACCGAACCGGATTAATCCTGAACGAGTAATGACATGTTTGCCTCTGATAGTTGGACCGTTTCTGTTGACCCACACAAATCACTAGGCTGACCGTTTAATTAGATGCCGACGTCGCTTCGGGTACCCTGCGACCCAAACCATTCGCCAAAATCGGCCGACAAATTTTTAGATCTATATTGATAATTTATTAATACAATATTATTAATTTGTATGTAAAAATTAATAAATGATTATTCGGAAATCGTGAGATGCGGTCTGGTGTGACGTAGGTTTTAGAAAAACATTTTCTTTATCATGCCAACGTTTCGATCTTTATTGAGATCATCTTCAGGGCCTGGGATGTACAGACATTGTTTAAATTTGAACAAATACATGCAGGATGTGGGAAAAAGTGATATTATACAATGAAAAATAAGTTTTTTTTTATATACAATCAAAGTATTTCTACTCAAAGTGTTTGTTTTCTGCGTAACACTTTGAGTGAGTAGAAATTCTTTGATTGAATATAAAAAATATTTTTTTTGCGTTATATAAATTCACTTTTTTCCACATCCTACATGTATTTGTTAAATTTAAACAATGTTTGTAAATCCCAGGCCCTGAAGATGATCTTAATAAAGATCGAAACGTTGGTACGATAAAGACAATGTTTTTCTGAAACCTACGTCACCCCAGACCGCATCTCGCGATTTCCGAATAACCATAGACTAACGGTCACTAATCACCGCACAAAATTAATAAAGTCAAATGATCCTGATGTTTTATACCAACAATTGAGAGAAAAAATCAAAAATACTGTTTACGCTGACAGAAAAATTCCAACCAATTGATTTTTTTCTCGATAAAGGAAAATTTTACCTATAATTTGTATCATTGTTTTTATCAATAAATATCTGTTTATGCTATGTTTTATATTGGGAATATCAATTCGATGTAAACACACTTAATCCTTAATCCAAAACAAGTATAAAGAATTCTTCAATTTTTACTTTTTACGGAATTTAGAATGTTTATTCAGCCTCATTTCAATTCTGAAGAAATAAATTTTTCATTTTTGTTCTCTTAATTTCAATTTTGAAACTTAAAACTGCCACTTAGTGCTGAGGATGTTGCGCGTGGTATGGCACTTATTGATGATGGACGTTCCATCAGTTATGCGGCCGTTGCCATCGGAGTACCCTAGGAACATAAAGGAGAGGAAGAACACAGGAGAGCATCAGACACAATGATGTGGTATACAGATGGCTCCAAAACAAACGAAGGAACCGGATTATGCGTTTTCTGTACAAGCCAAAAACATGAGCAATCAAACTCATTAGGGAAGTACACTTCGGCCTTTCAAGCAGAAATACATGACATCAATGCTTGTGCCCTGGAAAATCTTTAAACAGGTTACACTGGTAAAAAAAATCCTCATTAGATCTGATAACCAAGCAGCCATTAAAGCGTTAGCATGTAAAAAAGTTACGTCAAAATTAGTCGGTTAATGCATCCATAATCTTCAAAACCTCGAGAAACACAACAACCTGATGATATCTTGGGTGTCAGGGCACGGGGGAATTCGATTTTCAGCGCCTTATTAAAATGGCCACGGCGGGCTGTTAGTGAAGTGATTACTTCTTTACTTATCATATTAATCTTTTATGTAAGATCTTGGTTGAGAAGCAAACGTTAGTGTCACGAGCGGGTTTCGAACCCACGACCTTCGGCTCAATACGCCGCTGCTCCAACCGTGACTTCGATCGCTCATGCCACAAACTTCTCATGCCGTGACCACAAAGTCCCAAACATAACCTATTCTCCATCCCATCACTTTACTTCCAATCTGTAATAACCTCATCACCTTTTTGGCCTAAAACAATCATCAGAGGTCTTCGTGAGAATAGCCTAGTCTCTAGACTCCGGTTCTCTACATCATTTCTTGTGCCCTGGAAAATCTTAAAAGAGGTTACACTGGCAAAAAAATCCTTATAAGATCTGATAACCAAGCAGCCATTAAAGCATTAGCATGTAAAAGAACTACATCAAAATTAGTCAGTGAATGCATCCAAAACCTCCAAAACCTGGGGAAACATAACGACCTTATGATATCTTGGGTGCCAGGGCGCAGAGGAATTTTGGGTACGAGAAAGCCGACTGACTGGCCAGAGGAGGATCCGAAAGATAATATATAGGCCCCGAACCTATACTTGGGATAACAAAAACAATTATAGAATCCGCCATCGCAGAATGGATCCAAACAAAACAAAAGGAGAAGTGGATAAACTCTAGCTGCGCTAGACACAGTAAACGTATGATGAAACCAACCCTCGCCAAGACTGGCAAAATCACTCAGAGGAGTGATAGGACTACTAACCGGTCACTGGCATCTGAGAAGACATCTACACAACATGGGCATATACATCATCCCATGTGCAGATTATGTAATGAGGAGGAGGAAACCGCCACCCATATCATCTTCGAATGCGAAGCGACAGCTCAATGGAGATTCAACCTAACATACGAAAAAACTTAGGGAATGAAATTGTAGCAGCGACAGTCAATGACCTGATACTTCTAAGGAGAAGGATAGAATCTATTCCACTGAACTAAGGAACTAGGAAGGTACAATAAGCCAGAAGGCTGCATTGCCAGGGGAGAATAAACCCTGCTTCCTAGTAGCGTTATCACCATTCCATACCATCTCTACAAAACACTGCGAGACGATGTTAGACGTTTTCGAGAAACTGGGTCCTACAATAGAAGGCCCGATTCCGGACACCCTAGGGTTACAGAACCACAGTAGGATTGTTTTTTGACTTTGAAAATTTTGGGAAACCGGCAACTTACTGTTGTTGAAGCGATTCATCAGCTCTAGGAAGTTCGATGTGTCCAAATTTTTGAACGCACTGCTCCAAGAAGATTAAATAAGTATAGACTGATGGCTTTTCCCGTAAGAGGACCAGAATTGACCAGAACAAAGAGTTGCACGGCTCGCATTTGTTCGAGAACACAGCCTTTGGTCTTTGCACGATTGGTCAGCTGTATTTTTTACAGATGAGTGTAGATTTCCAGTCTACGATCTCCAGAGGGCGTGAAAGAGGGCGGACAAGGTGAGATGAAAAGTACAAAGCTTGTAATTTTTCCCAAAGCCAACGTTTTCAACGTACCTCAGTGATGGTGTAGGCGGGAATTTCAATGGAGAGTCGCACAGAGTTGGTTGTTCGTGGCCTTTGACGGCCAGTCTCTATATGGACGAAATGTGAGAAAATCATGCTTTCCCTATTTCGATGAAATCAGCGACAATCCTATTCTAATGCCCGTCCATTTGTCGCTCGTTTGGTACAAAACGTACCATCAATAGCATGACATCAGGGTCTTATCCTGGCGAGCCCCGTTCTCCTGACCCCACCAACATTTATAGGATAACCACAAAAGACGAATAAGACCACGTTCATCATTTCCATCAAATCCTCTCCCAAAATGCACAACTTGCGGTGAAGTGATCTCCATCAAACATATTCTGACATCATGTAGAACCTACGAAGATCTTACAGTCAAATATAAGCTTGCGAATAATGTGATCAAAATTTTGAAAGATTTCTCATCTAACATCGAAAGACTTAGTTCCTTACCGAAACTGGGTGAGGATGGCACTTGTCCTCGTCTTACTCATTTCATTCTCCCATTACCTCAAAATCAAAGCAGTTTTTGACCCTTCGTGGTTTTTTGCCTTAAAAAATACATAACAACGAACCTGCTGTGTATTCATGCCGACCATGTTTGTTACTGAAGTTTGCTTCATCATTTTTCTCGATTTAACACGACTTAACCAAGTTAACAGGGTTAACACAAAGATCATGAATATTGCCTATTATAAAAACGCAAACGGTTAAGGGAGCCATAATGAATAAATTAAATCTCCTTGTAGATTAAAAATCTATTTTTACCTTAAGGCAATGTTTAGGGAAGGTACTAAGTTCATCTTGGTTCCCTATTTTGGTAATTAATAATTATTGTTAAATAGTCGTGATCAGCCGATATGGGGTCTCTCATAAGGAGAGTTGAAAGGTAGATTCTACATCTCATAACATAAGAAATGTTGAATAAAAAATTGTTAAAGTGTGCGTTCCAGGATCCGCACTAGTAATAATGTAAGTTGGCTGAAAACCTTCAGGAGCGAGTTGAAGGAAAGTCGGAAATCAGGCCGTAAATTCAATATGCGAAGTTGTAAATCCAGAGATGAGAGAATGTTTGAAGTAAGGGCGAAACAAGATTGGGGAGTTATAAGTTACGAAGGAGTTTGTCGGAGACAAGGAGATGAGAAGAGGGGTAGTGTTCAACTTGTAGGCAACTCTTCTCCCTTCCTTCTGCTTTGTCGGAGGAAAGGGGGTGTAATGTATTCTTATGTAAATGTCGGTACAACCCGTTCGACAGTCCTGAATCTCCTCCCCTCTTATTGACGCCGGTCCCGAAGGCAATAGAGGAACCGGCGAGATTTAGAGGGGAGCTTAAGCCTTTTCCAGAGTTATTGCTCCGACTAAAAGGAAATGTAGGAAAACAGAACGCTTTCTGAAGCCTGAGCTTTTTTCCCGGCTATTCCGGCTTCAACAGGGCAAAGGGATTCTTTTATATCTGGCGAATTTTCTGTTGCAACGATTTTCTGATGTGCCATATAAAGGAAGGTCTTTGAGGATCTTTTCTTCATAAGCAGTGGCATCTTTATCAACTTTACTACTCAACCTAAGGATATAAAGGAAGAACTTTGGGGACGTTTTCTTCATAAGCAGTCGCATTTTTACCAACGATACTATTCAACCTAAGACTTACAATAAACCATAAAGCCACAAAACATAACACTAAATATATAGTCGAAAAATATATTTGATGACGAACTCTTGTGGAAGGCTTAACCCCGAGGCTATTGATCTCACAGTACGTGACTCTCCATCTATCTGCCTCTCATTACGATTCTCACTCTAACCTTACTGACTCTATCTAAACTCTGTTTCTGAATAACGGTGTATG